GCGCGGGAGGGGCAGACGCGCGGGAGGGGCAGACGCGCGGGAGGGGCCAGACTGCGCGGGAGGGGCAGACGCGCGGAGGGGACAGACTGCGCGGGAGGGGACAGACTGCGCGGGAGGGGACAGACTGCGCGGGAGGGGACAGACTGCGCGGGAGGGGCAGACGCGCGGGAGAGGACAGACTGCGCGGGAGGGGACAGACTGCGCGGGAGGGGCAGACGGCGGGGGAGGGACAGACTGCGCGGCAGGGCCCAGCGTCTCCCCGCCCCAGTCTGCAGCGGCGGCGGCCACGCGGCCCTGTCCACGCGCGGCCGCGCCGGGCTGCACGGCTCTGCAAGGCGGCGGGCGCGAGTCGGCGCTCCGCCCGCGCGTCTGCCGACGGGAAGCCGCCGCTCCGAGGGCTGAAGGGCTGGCCTGTAGCCCACAGGCCCGCGCAAGGCGCATGGGGGCGCAGCGAGGCCGCGGGCGACACTGCGGGCGCCGCGGGAGCCTCGCTGGGCTCCTTCGCCTCCGGCTCGGGGCGTGGCGTGGCGCGGCCAGACCAGCCGCCAGCAGTCTCGGGGAAGGCGGACAAGGACACAAGGACACGGGCTGCCGCGGGCTGCTCCTCCCGTGCCCTTGCACGCGCACACGCACGCGCACGCGCACGCGGGGCAGGCCCAGGCCGCCGATCTGGCTCGGGTCAGCACGCTGAGGACTGTGCGCGCAGAGCAGGGTCACTTGGATGGGGCCGTGGGGGCTCCAGGCCGGGCAGTGACAACCAGCCACAGTTTATGTTAGCCCTGCACATACCCCTGCTGAGAGGGAAGGCTGTGGGCTATCACACGGACAGGCCTTTTAGGGTTTGAGACAGAGGCTCCCCAAACAGCCTCGGCCAGCCCCTCCCCACCCAGGCCCTGGCTGGCCTGACCCCGTGCCCTCACTCTCGGGTGCCTTGCGGAGGCCCACCTTAAGAGATGCAAACCTGTCCTCAAACCGCGCTCCCACCAAGCCTGGTTCTCGTTCTGGGCAGCAGAGGCGGGCTCCTGTTTCTGATCTATTCCGACCCAGAATCAGCACTGGATGCTGCGGAAGCAGGACTGGCCCCGTCACGGCAGGGTGCTGCCAGCACAGGGGCGTCCAGATTCCCCAGGTCCTTTCGCACCCAGCACACACGGACCATTACAGGAGTTTAAGGCGTGATTGCTATAAAAAAAATACAAATACTTTCAAAGTATGTCAAGGGTGAAGCCCCCTCCCCATTTTAATTCACTTTTTCCCTACAAATGTGTACACACACAGATTTTGGATTGTGAGCCCAGAGATTTCTTTCAGTTAATTGATCAAATATGTATTAAGAGCCTATTACAGGCTGGGTGCGGTGGCTCACGCCTATAATCCCAGCTCTTTGGGAGGACAAGGCAGGATTGCTCCAGGTCAGGAGTTTGAAACCAGCCTGAGCAAGAGCAAGACCCTGTTGCTACTAAAAATAGAAAAAAAATATCTGGACAACTAAAAATATATATATAGAAAAAATTAACTGCGCATGGTGGTGCATGCCTGTCCCACGTGGTCCCAGCCACTTGGGAGGCTGAGGCAGGAGGATTGCTTGAACCCAGGAGTTTGAGGTTGCTGTGAGCTAGGCTGACGCCATGGCACTCTAGCCAGGGCAACAGAGTGAGACTCTGTCTCAAAAAAGAAAAAAAAAGAGCCTATTACAGATTGTATATGTCCTAGGCACATGGGGGACATGGTAATACTAAACATTCATGCCCCCAAAGAAATTATATTCTGGTTATGAAATATAGTGCACAACATTAGTGCACATAACTATACATGAGATGTACATGTATAGAGAGAGTATGTGTGTGTGTGTGTATAGTGAGAGAGGTGGAGGAACATGCACACATAGGAAGGGCTTTATATTAAAGGGCTGACAGTAGCTGCCTCCAGATGATTTATTTATGGGTCTTTTCTTTTTTGCTGTGGCTTATATATGATCTGATTTCTCTGTAGTAAGCATAGAATACTTCTGTAATAAGAAAACTTTACAGAAACTAGGACTAACATAAGCTGACCAGAGAATAGCACGAAACTGAGGCGGGCAGCATCGGGCAGAGGAGCCCGCAGTCTCCGCGGGAAGGAGGACTGGAACCTGGCTGCTGTGCAGGGTGGGTGGGATTTGAAACTAGTACCAGGAGGAAGAACCAACTTAACGTAGCAAAGAAGTGGGCAGTGGATAGCGGGGTCTGAGAAGTGAGGAAGGATAGCCTAAAGGGCAAGTAGGTGGCCAGGCCCTGGATTTGCTCAGCCCAGCTCTGATCTCAGCCACCGCGTGCCCCCAGAGCCGAGTCCTCCTCCTGGGTCACCCTTCACTCCAAGGAGAGCAGGAGGGAAGGCGGCACCTATGAAATCCCACCTGCAATGGCGTGTGTGCATCTGTGCCGCCAAGGCCAGGGGCTTCCCAGCTGGACAGCACTGGTGAATCGCTGTTAAGCCACGTGCAGGAGGCAATGTGCAGGATCTACAACAGCTTCTCCTGCTGCTGTCTGCCCAGCTCTGGAAAGTTCCCAGGGTAGGTGCCCTCTTGACCCCACGGGTGCCTCTGGCCCAGGAACAAGGACCCTGTGTGCTGGAGGTAGGGGTGGCCTTCCAGCATGAGCCCCAGCAGCTTCCCCAAGAGGGCTGGGGCCTGCACCCCACCCAGCCTGAGCTGCCCAAGGGGATGCACCCCCTGCGTGGGGTGTGAGTGGGTGAGTTTCTTAAGCCTCAGTCGGGGTCACTGTTAAGGCTATGGTTGGGGGGATCTCTTCTCCCAGACTTCAAAATGAACAGTTCTAAACTGACCCTCTGTGTGCCACCCCCCCCCCATTTTTTTTAAGACAGAGTCTCACTCTGTGGCCTGGGCTAGAGTACAGCGGCATCATCATAGCTCACAGCAACCTCAAACTCCTGAGCTCCAGCGATCCTCCTGCCTCAGCCTCCCAGGAAGCTGGGACTATAGGAGCACGTGTGTGGCCCTCTTGCCACTTGTGCTGACACAGCCTTCAGCACCTCTTCATTTGGGGGAAATTTAATAATAGATAAAATTCCCAGAACTCTGGAATTGCCTGGAACTCTACCCAGAGCCCCCAGAAACTTGCAGAGGACATTTCGGGAGAGGAAAAGGACCTCCTGTGTGAAGGTTATTTGCAGCAGGAGAAAAAGTTCCCCGTGAGCAGTGGAATGAGAACCTGGATTGTGCTTCTCCGGGTGTTCCTTCCTCTGGGGTCCTCACCCTCAGTCCCTGCCGCATGCAGCCTCTTACCAGCGCTGGGGTAGCCTCAGTCTGAGGGGCGGGCCCAGCTACCCACTGGGCTGGCCATCCCGCAGGCCTTGCAGGTTCTGCCTTTGTGCCTTTGCTCACACCTCTGCTCCCACCTTACTTCTCACAACCCTCCTAAACCCACCGCCTTTCAGGCTCCCCGGGCCCCTCCGTGCAGAAGGCGTCCCCTCCCGCCCAAACCTGCCTCTGCTACAGCCCCGTGTCCCCCAGGCTCTGAGCACAGCTGGGCGGCAACCTATGGGGGCACAGGAAGTACGGACGCGGTGGCTGTGACTCGCGCAGCCTGGCTCTTCGCACATTCCCCAGAGGAAAAATGAAGCTCCCTTTCCACGCTGCCCGCCTGCAGCCCCAGCTCCACAGGGAGGGACTGGGGCTGGCCGCTGTCCCCTCCTTTGGGTTCACAAATCGAGCGCCACACACACAAGCAAACCTTGCCTTCCCCAAATGGTATTTCTCTTCTTGCTCAATAGCTCCCACTTCTTTCAAAGATACTGCCTATTTTTAAAAAAGTTTTTATACTGGAAAATCTCATACACACCAAAGTAGAGAGACTAGTACAGTGAACCTTCACGCCGCAGCTTCAACTGTGACCATTTCAATTCACAGTCGCTTCTTCTCTATTCACCCCTCCTCCCCTCGCTCACTCCCAAACTAGATTATTTTGAAGCTAATTATTATTATTATTTCATCTGCCAATATTTCTGCACATATCTCTAACAGACAGGAGCCTTTTAAAAGAAAATGTGACCACAAAATCACGATATAAACTAAAACATAGTATTAATAACTACAATTCCCTAATACCATATTATATCCAATGCTTAAATGTGCCAGCTTGCCCTAGAAATGCATTTTTACAGATGTTCTGTTTGAATCAGGATCCAAATATTGCGTTTGGTCGATATGTCTTTTACGTCTCTATAGGTTAGTTCTCTCTCCTCTCTCTCTCTTTTGCAATTTATTTGATTATTTGACAAAGCAGCTGGCTGTTTGTCCTGTAGAATTCCCCATGGTCTGGGTTATGTTGGTTGTGGCCCTGTTTTCTGTGCTGCTTTTGAACGACTAGTGAGCTTTACTGGTTGGATTGGATTCTGGGTCTACATTTTGGCAAGAATGATTCACAGGCGGTGGTGTGTATTTCTACAAGAAAGCAGATGTTAGTAGCCACGAAGATCATTGCTTAGGCCCATTATCTCATTACAGGCTGCAAAACGGGGCTATTCTAACTCTAGCATTGCGTCCTCATTTGCCAGCGGGACGGTAATCCTACAGGGGGAAGCTTCTCTTCATCAACAGTTTGTGTGGCAGGATAAATGCTTCCTTCTCTTTGCCCAACAGTTTTCAGAATAAAGGGTCTGTTCTCTAGAACCTTCCAGAGGTGACCCATTCTTTTCATGATCATTATGAAATAATGGATTTCAATGTGATGTGTTTCATCTATTGCTATTATTATTCTTATTGATGCTTGCATTGTCTGATGTTTGGCCAGTGGAGCCTCTTCAAATTATTTATTTTCTTTTTCTTTTCTTTTTTTTTGAGACAGAGTCTCACTTTGTTGCCTAGGCTAGAGTGAGTGTCGTGGCGTCAGCCTAGCTCACAGCAACCTCAAACTCCTGGGCTCAAGCGATCCTGCTGCCTCAGCCTCCCGAGTAGCTGGGACTACAGGCATGCGCCACCATGCCCGGCTAATTTTTTTCTATATATATTAGTTGGCCAATTAATTTCTTTCTATTTTTAGTAGAGACGGCATCTCACTCTTGCTCAGGCTGGCTTCGAACTCCTGACCTTGAGCAATTGCCCACCTCGGCCTCCCAGAGTGCTAGGATTACAGGCGTGAGCCACTGCACCTGGCCTTCAAATTGTTACTTGAGTGTTTGCTACCTTAGTAACTTGTTACAGTTGTCTTGTTTTTAGATATTACTAAATATTCCAGGCTCGTATACTTTATGTCCCTAGACATATTTTATGGCCTAGAATGAGCCCTTTCTTAAAGGTGCATTTTTTCCATTTTGGTGGGAAATGGTATGTAGAGAACAAAGTCTGAGGGCTAATGACTTTAAATAATCACCAAATAAGCAACCAAATTAAAAGCAGGGCTCTCTTTGGCACTGTTTGTACTGAGATAAACCCAGAGTACAGGCACGTTTTGGGTGATATATGGACGTGGGCTGAGTCTGGGTCTAAGGGAGACGTCGGAGAGGGGTGTGCAGCTGAGCTGGCTGGGCCTCATCAGCGCAGGGCGTCACCCCACCAAGCAGCCAGGCCGCCAAACGGGAGAAATTCTCCCGTCCTGCAGCACAGGGCCTGGCGCAGAGTTAGCACTCAGAGCACGTGAGTTCAGTCTAAAAGAAGAGGAGGCTGAAGTTATCTCCTCTTTCATCTAAACGAGTACAGATAGTTCGGGTTACTACAAAGGCTAAATGCCTGAGACAGTGGAACTGTTTATTTAAAACCACCCCTTTCTAGAGCAGGATCTAATCTAAAATGGATTGGAATCTATTTAAAAGTGTCTTATTATATCCTAAATCCACCAAGAATCTGTGTTTGATTAGACAAACTCGGGATGGTATTTTACCTGCACAGATGTCTCCCAGCTGTTATAGGCAATGCGATCAAAGAGAGTATTTTGGAAATATACACCCAATAGATGCAGACCGGGACACAGAATCCAGAATTGATCTTAGGTTACTCGGGTGTCTGCTAACACTTTAATACATTATTTGGGAGCAGCAAAGAGACAGATATGGGCAGGTCCTGTGTTCTCCTGATGCCTCTCTCTTTCCTTGTCCTTGTACAAAACGACTCCACGCTGATATGGGATATGCACTAATTCAATTCCATGTCACGTGCCACAGGGACTCAGAGAACTTCAGCAGCAAACTTTCATTACATGGTCAGAAGAAAACAAAGTGACCAAAACTAAAGGAAGTTTAAGTCAAATGACAGTGTTAAAGAAACTTACAGTATCATAAACTTTTAACCAGCAAGTGATCCCAAACTGTCACTCTTCAAGAAAGACCATTTATAATGCTACAATATATTTAATACACTGTTCAACAACATCTTTATGAGACTGCCTGGTATAAAATGAGATAACCACTTGAATGATCCAGACTTGTGTTTAAACAGTAAAAGTGAGAGTGTAGAATTCAAGTTTCATGTATAATTTTGTATCGACCAAATACCTTTCTATATCTGCACATAAAAAGTTATCAAAGAAGGACAATGGCATAGAGCTGTGCTGGTGGGAGCCACCAGCCACATATGGCTATTTATAGTCAAATAAATTAAAATGAAATTTTAAGTTGCTTTCTCAATCACAGTAGCCCCATTTTAAGTGCTCAATAGGTATGTTGCAGAAAGAAATGTCTGACTAGGGTCAGGTTTGAGGATCGAACATTCTGCTAGTGGTTTGAGTTCCTCATTTGAAGTATGTAGACATAAGCTTGGAAAATCTATGGTTTCCTTTCTCTGAAGTTGAAATGTTCTTTTACCTTGATTGGTTAGCTGTGTGAATCCGGGGTGTGAAAGATGCCCCTGTGTGAGGAAAGGGTTTTGGTAGAAATAGTCGGAGGAAGAAGAGGAATTGTTATTTTTGCTATGTTGCATTTATTATTTGAATTTGCTGACTAAACAACAAAAAACACTTCCTACCATATTGTCACTTCTCTGGCACATTAATACCTTTTAGGCGGAGGGGTTGTCTTTCAGTCCTGTGTAACCATGGTTCCGAAATGAACTTGAGAAACTCAAGAGGCCTGGGCAGCGAGAAGGGATGGAATCAAAGTGAGGCCAGGATCAAAGGCAGACAGCGCTGGGGATCTCAAGGTGGAAGTGGACCCCCTCGGCTGCCTTTTCCTGGCCTTCCTTTAATAAACACCCAGGGCTCTGAGGCAGGCCTCAGACAGCAGAGAGGGCCTGACTGGAACAACAAAGAGCCTGGGGAAGAGAGCACTTAGCACTTGGGGAGGAAAGGCAGCCTCTGTGATATTTGGGGGAGTCAGTGACAGGAACCATGGTGGGAAATGTAGAGGATGCGGAAGAGGACAGCGACCCCAATGGCCTCGTCCCTCCCAGCCTGGCTGCGGATGATCGCGCCTTCCTTCCCCGCCCCCACCCACTGCCTCCCATGAAGGTTGTCTTCTGCTTCACCTTGCCCTCCCTTGTGTCCACTTCAAGTTACTGACAGACTAAATATAAATAATGGCCCAAAGCTCTCAGCCAGCCCAGGTGTGTGTGTGGGGAGACCCCAGACCCTGATCTCAGTGAATGTTGTCTGTAGCTGACCCTGAACTTTGGGCTGCTATTCTCAAACTGGTCGAGCACTCATGTGCTCCTATAGAAAAAAAGCACTTTATGGGCTTAAAATTTTTCAGGTTATCTACATTGGAGAAATAATTATTTTTATAATTATATTGCCAAGAATAGGGCTCTTTCCATTTTCCAATCGGCAAAAATGAGTATAGAAGAATTAACAAATATGCACGGTGTGTTTGCAGCAGGGTCATGAGTAAGGAATCTAGAACTCAGATGTAGTGAAAACTACTTATAATTTTATAAGTGTCTGTCAAAGAAAAGAGAAGGAGAAAATCATTTTAATTTCAAGTGCATGTACATGGCAGAGCTTTTGTAGGAATCTGACAGTGGCTCCCATCTTGCCAGCCCCAGTCAATGAAAATCCCAAATGAACTGGGAAGCTCGTTCCAGTAGCATCTCTTTCCAGATACATTACATTGCATCCTCTACTTCGGTTTTGTAAAACTAGGGTTTAATGGGAATTTCACCAGTTTTTCCACTAATACCTTTTTTCTTTTCTAGGACCCAATTTAGAATACCACATTACATTTAGTCATCAGAAATCTAGGGTTTAAAATGTATTTATAATAATTAATTAATAATACATGCACATGTTTAAAAACTAATAATAAAACAGTCCTGAAGGGTATAGAAATCTCCCTTTCCAACCCTTTACTCCCGTTCCAACTCTGGGTTTCACTGTGTCCTCACAGAGGTTATTTTTTTGGCATATACAAGTACACTCAATAGAAACTGCATATAGAGCAAAAGGAGGAGAGAATGGGAGAGGCTACAATCTTATTTTAATATAGAGGATTAAAAGCCAACACAAACTCTCAGGAAAACAGTCATATGAAAATAATGCCTGTTTGGAGGATTATCAAACCAGAAACTGAATGGCTGGAATTTCTTACCATGCATTTAAAAGACAGAGAAAAGACTGTTTACATGTTCAGACCACTCGCTTCAGTGAATCACCACGGCCTCAGTGAGGAGCAGGAGCTCCGTCAGTCTCCACGGGGCCATTTCTCTGGCCTATTGCCAGGCAGTCTCAGGGTCTCCCAACAAGTAAGCAGATGGCAGCAGCAGAATGAGGCTTGGACAGAGGACCCAAGGGATTTCCACACAACAGGCTGGATAATTCCCATGATCCCTGACCCCTGGGCAGAGTTTCTGGGTTGCCCAGGCCATCTCTGGCTGTTAGTTTCAGCAAATCTCTGCTGTCCTCCTGGGGCTGGCCTCATGGTATCTGTAGCTACAGCAGTGCATCCATCACTGCAGCCTGTGACTGTCAAGCCCAGTGTGCGCGAAAGACAACAACCTCCAAGACTGGAGAGCGGCCAGGGCTTCACCCTCCTCCTGAAGGTGGCAGGGGAGCTCAGTGTGACCACGGGATTGATGTCTCAAGGTCAATTTGGCACATTGGCTTTGAAGTTAGATGGGCCTCTGGGTTGTGGTGTATTTCCTGATCTGTACAATTGAGATAGGAATAACATAGATAAAGCATGGCCCAGGACAGTGACACTTCATAAATGTTTTTTTGAAATAATGAATTAAAGAATGAATAAGCATAGAAAAATAGAAGGTCTAGGCCAGGTGCAGGGCTCACACCTATAATCCTAGCAATCTGGGAGGCTGAGGCGGGAGGATAGCTTGAGGTCAGGAGTTTGAAACCAGCCTGAGCAATAGCGAGACCCTGTCTCTACTAAAAATAGAAAGAAATTAGTTGGCCAATTAAAAATTAAAGAAAAAATTAGCAGGGCATGGTGGCGCATGCCTGTAGTACCAGCTACTCGGAAGGCTGAGGCAGAAGGATGGCTTGAGCCCAGGAGTTTGAGGTTGCTGTGAGCTAGGCTGACGCCACAGCACTCTAGCCCCAAGAACAGAATGAGATTCTGTCTCAAAAAAAAAAAAGGAAACATAGAAGGTCTAACCTCCCATGCCATATTTCCTCAGCAGGAAAACCTCAATGACCTGGCAAAGGAATGAAAGAGGAAGGGGCGAAGGGGAAAGGAGAAGGGGGAAGGGTGGGGAGATGGAAGAGCAAGCATTGGGCATAGTCAGGCAGCCTAGGAGAGCCTCAGGGGCTGTGAGGGGGTCTGGGACACAGTGTTGACACCCCCACCTCCTGCCCCAGCCAGGAAAGGATGAAGCCCAGAACTCCTGTTTGCAGCAGCTCCCGGAGTGCTTTATGCTTTGACACCTGGAATGTCCACCTGGGATCCAAGCTCTTCCGAGAGACTGTCCGTTAGCATTCCAGAATGGAAAGAGACGGGATGGAGACTGTACCCTGAAAGACCTTCCAAATGAAGAGCCCCCTGTGAATGGCCCTGGTGACATCAGTGCTCAGGTGTTGGGAGCAAGAAGACCTGGGCCTCTGTGCTCTTCTCCTGGGGACCTGCACTGTGGCGGGCAGTGCTCACAGTGGGTCTCTGTCCCGGATGAACTGGGCAACATCCAATTCAGCACACACTCATTGAAGGTCTAGCGCCGGGGTCACCCAGAGTGGGCATACACAAGGGACACTCACCAGATGACCGAATGACGGAAGGAAGTGTGCTCCTCTCTAAGACTTTGTAACCCAGTGGGGGAGCAGACGTGCAAGCCAGGGCCACAGCACAAAGCAGCATCACCCGGCGGCCTTACATGAGCCCCAGGGGCAGGGGAAGGAACGATCACTTGTCCCTTCCAGTGGACAGGTCTGGAGCACTGTTGGGTCCCTTCGGAAAGGCCAAATTAAATGTCTGCTCACGGGGGACACGCTGTCATCCCTGCCTGCCTGGGACAGCCCTGCGGGTGGGCCAGGCGGTGTCCCAGGCAGAAGCTGCCCTTCCCTCTTCGTAGGAGGAGCGCGCTGCCCCCCTTGAGGCCCCTTTATCTTTGCCCGTGGGGTTCGGGATGTGTCAGGAAGGCTCGCAGAGGACTGGGGCTGGGCTGTTTGACCAACCTGGCACAGGGTCTAGCACATGGCAGGGGTGGCAAATAAACGCCTTTGATGAGGACTGGCGGGACAGGGCACAAGGCTCACGTGAGGCCCGCCCGCACGCGGCCTCCGAGCGCCCCTCCCCGGCAGACTTTCGGGAATGTGGATTGCGGCGCGGCCGGGGGCGATGGGCGGGAGGCGACGGAGGGGGCCGGGGCCCAGGTTCGCGCCCTGCCCTGCGCCCCGCGGCCAGCGGAAGCGATTATGCCCGGCGTCTGGCGGGCGCGGCGGGCCGCCGCCGAGGAGCACGGGCCTCCCGCGTCCGCGCTTTGAAGGCGCCGCGGGCGCGCGGTATAACTGCCGCCCGCGCCCGGCGGCGCTCGAGCCGCAGCGATGGCCGCAGCAGGGTCCCGCCAGCGCCAGGCCGCCGCCTTCCCCGCCCGGCCCGCGCCGCCCGCGGCCGCCGCTCCCGCCGCGGCCCCGCCCCGAGCGCGGCGCCCGCGCCGCCTTCGCGGGCTTCCTGGGCAGGGCCCGCCCGGCCCGCCACCCCACGCGGCCGGGGCGCGCGCCCCCCCAAGGCGCGGCCGCCCCGTCGGCGCCGCAGCGCCGCAAGCGCACGTCGTTCAGCGCCGAGCAGCTGCAGCTGCTGGAGCTCGTCTTCCGCCGAACCATGTACCCCGACATCCACCTGCGCGAGCGCCTGGCCGCGCTCACCCTGCTCCCCGAGTCCAGGATCCAGGTGAGCGGCCCGCCGCGTGCGCAGCGCCGGGGGAGAGGCTCGGGGAGTCCGAGCCGCGCCCCCCCGGGCGCCTTAGGCCACACCCTGGGGCCCCGCTTACTTGGGGGACGTTGGGCAAGTTGCTTCCCTTGAGCCTCAGTGCTCTAGACTGCAAAATAAGGATAATATCTGTAGGCTTAAATGAAATAATTCCGGCTGTATTCAATGACTGTGTCTCATTGCTAAGTATGAGGCTCCTAGGAGGCTAGCTGGTCCCTTGAAATGGTCAGAAAGCAATTCCCAGCGGAAGGTGATGGGAAGTATTTGTACACTTTTCCTTATCGAGGAAGAAGACACAGATGAGGCGCAGGTGAGGTTTCCTTCTGGCTTTGGAGCTGAGAGAGGGCAGGGCCGACTCACCAAGTTACTCCCAGGCCACTTTCTTGGCAAGTATTGGTTCTAGTATTTTGGTTTGAAAGGATGCAGCATTTTGGGGCAAAGCCTGAAACATCTGGAGCTTGTTGCCATAGTTTGAAAAATCTAGTACAAGGTGTGTTTATTGTCTAAAGTAATTTAGATCAGAATCTTGGAGTTGGTAGTGAGAAGCTTGTTTTTTTGCCTGTCTGTAACACCTTGCTCTGTGTCCAAGAGCCCTCATTTAAACAGTGGGAAAGAGTAGACTTTTTTTTTTTTGAGACAGAGTGCCGTGGTGTCAGCCTCACTCACAGCAACCTCAAACTGCTGGGCTCAAGCAATCCTTCTGCCAAGTAGCTGGGACTACAGGCATGTGCCACCATGCCTGGCTAATATTTTTTCCTATATATTTTTAGTTGGCCAATTAATTTCTTTCTGTTTTTAGTAGAGACGGGGTCTCGCTCTTGCTCAGGCTGGTCTGGAACTCCTGACCTTGAGCAATCTGCCTGCCTCGGCCTCACAGAGGACTAGGATTACAGGTGTGAGCCACTGCGCCTGGCCTAGACTTGTTTTTTCTGCAAAACATCTCTGGCGGTCACAACAGCTGTCAGTTTCAACAGTTGGTACAGAGGCTTCCTAATCAGCACACAGTATTTGTGGGGAAATAGCAGAAAGATTTATTCACAGAAGTCCACTGAGCAAAATGCCTCCTTGATTAGTTTGACAAGGGAGCATAAACTTTCAAACACTGATTTTCTAAATAATTTTAATGCCTATCTTTAAGCAGAGTAGCATTTTTTGCTGAGAATTCTAAATGCTGCTATTTGTAACCCTATTTTTCATGAAATTGTCCCTAAATAAAGAAGATAGAACCAGGCATTATTTCAATTTTGCATCTGGGAATGGCGAGGCAGGGAAAGCTAGGTGCTCTGAACTTCTGTCAACACAAGTGCTTTCTCAAAACCATGTCTTTGGAGCAGGAAGCCCAGGGATGTTAAACTGGAATTTATTACTGTGAACTATGTACGTAACGGTAGCATAAAAACTCCAACCCAAAGCAGTTTTTTCCTCCCCTCTTGCAGGTGTGGTTCCAGAATAGGCGCGCCAAGTCACGGCGTCAGAGCGGGAAAGCTTCACAACCCCCGGCTGGGCCAGAGGTTTCCCTCAACCACCCTGCTCCTGGAACTGAACTGAAATGTCTGAAGGCCCAGCTGCCTCTTGAGGTAGAGGTGAACTGCTTCACTGACTCTTCACACAGGGCCGGAGGGGGCAGCTCTGACTCTAGCTCCCAGGGTCAGAATTTTGAAACCTATTCCTCTCTCTCTGAAGACATTGCTTCAAAGCTGGACTTGTGGGAGGAACACATCTTTTCTGCCTTTGGTAACTTTTGAGGATTCCGGGAGAATTCAGATAACCTTATAGGAGCCATGAGTGACATCCAGGAGACACACATCAGAATACTGCCCTTTCTGACTTCCATGTTCGGGACATTGTTAACCTTGTTAACCTTGTAATCCTTGTTAACCTCCATGATGGTTCTGACAGTCACTTTCCACCTGTGAAGGTTCTCCTCACAGCATTTTGGCGAACATCGCATTCTGGCGTTCAGTTTTACCTGTGTATCTCCGAGTCTGCATGTTCCACTTAGCCTGCATCCTGGGCCTTCTTGCCAGGTCTGTTCTTATTTTTTGGACTGGTTGTTCAGAATGCAGTAACTTCTTCATAAGAACCCCTCAGCTTGACTCAGTTTCCCCCTGTGCTTGACAGCTGCCATCTTCTCACAGACCCCCCAAGGCTCATAACCTTAAACTCACTCTAACCCATCTCTTCAGCCCTTATCCCATCACCAAAATGTATTACTTTTTTAATTTGGCCTGTCATCTTTGCGCTCAATCAGTGATTCTACATCTAGATTATTCCAAGAACCCCTCTGCCTCTAGCTTCTCAACTACTTTTTAAAAATTACTCTCTAGAAATCTGTAGTAGCGTCCAATTGCTACCAAAGTGTAAAAATCTTTCAGTTATCCTCCCAGATAACTGATATCACTTTTGGCCTACAGGACAGCTATGCAAATCTTATGGTCACCTATCCACAACATACTCTGTTTCAAAGTCACTCCTTTTGGTTTTGGACCAAACTAATACCTTTCTCTTTCAAAACACTAAAGACTTTCTGCCACTTTCAGACATCTGAAACTTTAATCCTGATTTTGTATGTTACTTCAATCATTGCAACATTACCCTTGGCGCTTGTTAATGTACTTCCTGTGCAACTTCAGTAGATTATTAAATGTTTTTCACAAATGTTCCAATGCAATTTCTATTTAAATGAAGTCTGTGCCTTATCTCTTAGTACAGTGCTTTACTCCACAATTGCTCAGTACATATTATGTGGCCATGAAAAACATTTCTAAAAGAAGATTATAGCCAGTAATCAATATTATATCAATCAGCAGGCCACTGTGCTAAGAAATTTAATTTGGTTAAAAGCATATCTTTACTTGTTCAAAGTTTAGTAATATTTTGGTTTTGGAGGCCACTCGTGGTGGCTCATGCCTGTAGTCCTAGTACTTTGGGAGGCTCAGGCAGGAGGATTGCTTGAACCCAGGAATTGAAGACCAGCCTGGGCAATAGTGAGACCCCACTCTATGAAAGAAAAAATAAAGAAAAAATTAGCTGGGCATGGTGGTATGTGCCTGTATTCCCTACTACTTGGAAGGCTTAAGCTCAAGAGTTGGAGACTGCAGTGAGCTATGATGATACAACTGCACTCCAGCCCAGGCAACACAGCGAGACTCTGTTGCCAAAAAAAAATAATAATTTGGTTTCACATTTCTCTTTCTCAATTTATAATTTTTTTTTTTTCTTTTTGGAGATAGGGTATGCCACCCAAGCTAGAGTGCAGAGGCATCATCATAGCTCACAGCAACCTCAAACTCTTGGGCTCAAGTAATCCTCTAGCCTCAGCCTCCCAAGTAGCTAGGACTACAGGCATGCGCCAACATGCCTGATTAATTTTTCATTTTTTGTAGAGACAGAGGTCTCACTACTGCCCAGGCTGGTCTTGGACTCTTGGCCTCAAGTGACCTTCCTGCCTTGGCCTGCCAAAGTGCTAGGATTACAGATGTGAGCCACTGCACCCAGCCCCAATTTATAATTCGTAATGTATGTAAATGACTGTTTCTAAGTTAGCCTAGGATTAAATATTATATTGATATTTTGAGGGTTTTCAAACTCCTTAGGGCCAAAGGACACTGTCTGTATATGAGGTAACCATAGGTAAGGTTTCTCTGTAAACTGTGCTTTAAAGTAGGCCTATCAGAAGCGATGGCCAGGGCCAGGACATCTGATGCATCTTGATGGGTATTAGAAGAGCTTGAACTATGCTGAATGTCTTAGAGATTATACAAGCTGGTTGCTCATTTTAACAGAGATGCTATTCAAGTGGTCTGTACTTTTCAGAGTGGCAAATCCACTACTATTAAAAGTAACTAAGAGGGCCAGGCGCAGTGGCTCATGCCTGTAATCCTAACACTCTGGGAGGCTGAGGTGGGAGGATCGCTCAAGGTCAGAAGTTTGAAACCAGCCTGAGCAATAGTGAGACCCCGTCTCTACTAAAAACAGAAAGAAATTGGCCAATTAAAAATATAAATAAAAAGGCCGGGCGCGGTGGCTCACGCCTGTAATCCTAGCTCTCTGGGAGGCCGAGGCGGGCGGATTGCTCGAGGTCAGGAGTTCGAAACCAGCCTGAGCAAGAGCGAGACCCCGTCTCTACTATAAATAGAAAGAAATTAATTGGCCACTAAATATAACAAAATTAGCCGGGCATGGTGGCGAATGCCTGTAGTCCCAGCTACTTGGGAGGCTGAGGCAGGAGGATTGCTTGAGCCAGGAGTTTGAGGTTGCTGTGAGCTAGGCTGACGCCACGGCACTCACTCTACCCCTGGGCAACAAAGCGAGACTCTGTCTCAAAAAAAAAAATATATATATATATTATATATTAATAAATATTAGCCCGGGGCAGGTGGCGCATGCCCGAGTCCCCCCAGCTCCCAGGGGGGCTGGAGGGCAGAGAATCACTTGAGCCCAGGAGTTTGAGGTTGCTGTGAGCTAGACTGACGCCACGGCACTCTAGCCCAGGCAACAGAGTGAGACTCTTGTCTCAAAAAAAAAGTAACTAAGAGAACATGGTTCAGGTTCAGGCTTTAGTAGCTAACTGGATTTCTGAGCCCTTTGAAAACTGTCTGAAACCAGATTAGTTATTATTATTTTTAAGTGTTTACTATGTGCCAAACATTGTGCTCAGAGCCTATCCTGGGGGTGGTCAGGAGGTCTCACCATCACAGAGTTCACATTTTAACTTGTGACATGGCTGAATGAGATGATACAAATACAGTCATAAGACTGAAAGACATATATCCTAACATATTTGTCCACTAAAACATATATGTCTACTAAAAATCACACTTAAAAATAAATCTTGCAATTAGCTTTTTAATTTTATTCTTTCATTTATATTGTCTTATATTCTATTTTCCCCAGTGAACAATTATAAAAACCTACAAATATTTAAATACTGTTTTTATATTTTTAATTTGTTAAAATTATGGGATCCTCTAAGAACAGAAGTAGTCTGTACCTCTCTCAAACTCTTAAGGCCTTAACTGTTAAATGTGTAACAGGCATTATATATTTAATTTGTACACCTACCATGTAAGATAGGGACTATTCTTCCCATTTTAAAGATGAAGAAACTTAATCTAAGTAGTGGTTCATAATCACAGAACTTGTAAATGGCATGGTCAGGACTCACACCCAGGACTAACACAGCCCACCGATTTACCCACCACCATAGAGTGCCTCCTCTACTGGGCTGGTCTTTTTAGTCAGGGCTAATGATAAAATAATGTGCTAGGTTTAAAAGCAAGTCCCAAATCAGAATTTCTATATGCCAGTGAATATTGTCTCATCTTTCAAAGAAATCATCATAGAAGGCCACATTCTTATTCCAGTGACACTAATGTTGCTTAGAGCTCTTTTGAAACTCACATTTGTTTGTTCATTATACAAGTATTATATTTATTTGGTGCCTATGAACAGGCACTTTATCAGAACCTGGAAATAAAATGGTGAGCAAAAACAGGAACAGCCCCTCCACTCAAGGAGCAAAGAGGCCAGTATGAAGACAAAAGATGTCTAAGGAGTATAAAATTGCAAATGTGACAAGTGCTGGACGGAGGTATATGATCTGAAGACACTATAATAGGAGATATGTTGTGGTTGAGGAAAACTTCCTTGAGGTTTGATGTGGAGGTAAGATCTGGAGGCTGATCAAGGAGTTACCAAGGAGGAGAGGAGATGAAATGGAGGCGCACTGCATGTGCAAAGGCCCTGTGGAGCAGGGAGCAGAATGAAGAAATTGGTAGGGGAGGCCAGACCATGCATGGCTTTATAGATCTTATAAAAGAGTTATGAATTTGTCCTGAAAGCCATAGAAGGACTTTAAAGGCATTTATAGACAGAGGTATAATGTGACCAATTCTGCATTTTAAGAATACCACTCTGGCTACATTTGAAGAGGGCTGACGCAACACTAGGAGATAAGTTAGGAGGCAACTGCAGTTTTCCAGGTTAGTGATGATGGCAATTGGGCTCTAAGTAGTGGTGGTAATGAAGATGGAGAAAGGTGCACGGATTCAAGATAAAAAAAAATTGTTTTGTTTTTTTTAGAGACAGAGTCTCACTCTGTTGCCCCGGCTAGAGTGCCACGGCGTCAGCCTAGCTCATAGCAACCTCAAACTGCTCGGCACAACAATACTTCTGACTCAGCCTCCCAAGTAGCTGGGACTACAGGCATGCGCCACCATGCCCAGCTAATTTTTTCTATGTATTTTTAGTTGGCCAATTAATTTATTTCTATTTTTAGTAGAGATGGGGTCTCACTCTTGCTCAGGCTGTTTTCGAACTCCTGACCTTGAGTGATCCTCCCACCTGGGCCTCTCAGAGTGCTAGGATTACAGGCGTGAGCCATTGCGCCAGCGTCAATAGAAAAAATTTAATGGGAACATCTTTTTGTAGCTTTTCAATGGTAAAAAGTGAATGTGACTTTTGGAACTAGCTTAAAGTAATTCAGAACCAAATCTATATAAGTAAAAGCCATGTACGTGCTTGCAAGTTTGCACAATGTGGTTTGTTTTTGTTTTTTTTTGAGACAGAGTCTCACTTTGTTGCCTAGGCTAGAGTGAGTGCCGTGGCATCAGCCTAGCTCACAGCAACCTCAAACTCCTGGGCTCAAGCAATCCTCCTGCCTCAGCCTCCCAAGTAGCTGGGACTACAGGCATGAGCCACCATGCCCGGCTAATTTTTTCTATATATATTAGTTGGCCAATTAGTTTCTTTCTATTTATAGTAGAGACGGGGTCTCGCTCTTGCTCAGGCTGGTTTCGAACTCCCGACCTCGAGCAATCCACCCGCCTCAGCCTCCCAGAGAGCTAGGATTACAGGCGTGAGCCACCACGCCCGGCCCACAATCTGGTTTTAATACCTTTCTTTATACATGTATTAAGCAGTGGTACATCACTCAAATCAATGTATGCCTGGCCCAAAATGACCACTCTGAATTTTATAGGTTTCTTCTTCCCTAAACAGAAATAGAATTCAACCTAATTCTTAGGCATCCCCTGCTGTCGACACATGATAGTATTGAAAGGTAAATAGTGCTTAATTAAATATGTATAAAATGCGGTAATATTTAAGTGTTAGGTTACTGTTCAAGTAAGCCTAAAGCAATGTAAAAGAAAAAAAATGTAAAAAATTCCTACCCAATTCTAGGCAGGATATATTAAAATCAACTTTCATTAGGTCTATACTAGGTCAAATAACTTTCTTGCTTGCTTAGTGATTCCACAGTGATTTACTCACAGATGGAAAAAACCCTCCCTAAAATAATATGGGATGGTATTGTACTACAAAAGAACCTGATTATTAATCTATACTGTTTCCCCTAAAAATATAGTTTAGTAGAAATTACAGTTCTTCAAAACTTTTAAAATCGAAGGAATACTTATCAATTTGTATTAATTAAATGAAAATGTAGACTATTAATTTTCATAGATCAATTTATTTAGAATTACAAATATTAAGAATAAAAGATTTATGCATTTCTTAATTAACATAACAGTTTAGCTAAATATAAACTCTGCACTAAAGTTCTGCAGTGGCACAATACCAAGAAAGAATACAGAAGCATTTTTAAACTATACAAAAATTTCAAATGGAAAATAATCTTGTTTCAGTTTTATTATACATTAACATATAAAAAGTCTCATTTTATGAGACATCTAAAAGAAT